TTATGCGTTTCGATGTACGGTATAGTGTGTTGCACAGTGCGGTTGCACACGCCACAGTTCTACGACGCCTAATCCAGCTGTTTGCTCCCTCCTACTTCCCCATACTCTCTACTCCCCGTCTGCTAGTGAACGTTGGCAGACGCTGGTAGACGCTAGCAGATGCTAGATCGATACCTATACTTCCATAGAGCTGGAGACGCTGGCAGGCGCTGGTGGACGCTGGCAGACGCTAGTAGACGTTAGATCGATAAGTGTCACGGTAGCCACGGCATGGCACAAGGTCGCTGACATGACTCTGCCCGCTGATAGATGTCTCATTGGTTGTCTTCGATCGTTTTTGTGCACGCTGCTTTGCGTAGCCTTTCGCCCGATATCCACATCGATTCCTTGTCTCTCACTTGGCATAATCAGGGGCCTATCGGGACCACTTTCGACAACTTCCTCCCCTTTTTTTCATGGGCTAGCCAACTAGCACATACAACTTTTCTGCTTTTGACCCTGCAACCTCCAAACTTTTCGCCGGTTCATCGCAAAGTCTTCCCTTAAGAAACCCTGAACTTCGTGCTGTCACTCTGCAACCTACTCCACGCATTCACCTCTTCCTTCAGCGCCTCTGTTCCCTAGGAAAGAAATACCTGAAGGCCGACGAGCTCAAAGATGTAATCATGTTGGCATCACAGGAACCAACGAGGCTGGTCAACGTCATTCTCTCAACAGTTTTATCTCCTTTTTGTAGGAATGCGAGTCGTTTGAGTACCTGGGCTGTGACGGAAATTCGAACAATTTCGCTACAAGGCAAGAGTGCGAAAGTTATTGTGGAGTCGGAGGTACGGTTAAATTACTCCAACTAGAAAACTCCTCCATCTATAGAAAATCTGTTTCAGTAGTTCTGGGGTTGGAATTTCTGACACCCCTTCCTTTTCGAGGAAAAACTGAAGGGAACCTAAAAACTCGCCTAAAAAGTAAAACGCAATATACATTCAGGCTGTGCAAATGGTGGGGTGCCTCTACGGGATAGCTCAGGATCTATCCAGACGTGCTCTGAGAGGTCCGGTGGCTGTCCGTCTACGCATGAATGCTACGCCGTCAGCCTAGGACCTGACACGGTATCCCATCGTTGCTGCCCTACCAAATGTAGGTATTTAACGATTCCCGGATCTTCGAGATAGTTCTACCTAACTGTTCAGCCTACATCTGTGCACTTCCGCCGCAACAAGGATCTTCGCTGTGCTCAGGAGGTGTCTACAGTGTAACTCGGTAAGGACTCCTTTTGTCATTCAATTTAAAAAGAAAAGACGGCAATGGCGATCTTTTTAGATATTACTTCAACATCGTCACAAAGAAGTGCTCTCCTTTTGCCTTCAATGGATGCGACGGGAATCCGAACAATTTTGCGTCGCTAAATCAGTGCAACAATTTCTGCACGGCTTCCGGTAGTGTTTCATTTGAGGAAAGTCGAAAAGTGCAGGAGAATTCAAATATTCAAGTAGTCGCGAGCATGGCCGGCCGGCAGAGTTTGACAACGGGGTTATCGGGACTTACTCGATTGGATCGAAAATTCTGTTAAATTTCGGAGTACTGAAGCTTGCCCACTTCCGAGAGCTTATGACGCCAAAGGGAACGTTGGGAGCGCCTTCAGCCTCAGACAATCGTGCTGGTGTTGGGACGAGTCCAGTCGGCGGATTCCTCAAAACCCTATCACCCCACAAGTGACAATTGAGCATCTGTTTATGCCTTTTTTCGGTAGCAAGTTTGGATTGTAGTTTAGTAGTTTTGGCTGGAAGGGAGACTTTGAAGGCGAAGTCTGGGTGCAGAGTCACTGGAAAAAAGGAGGTTCACTGGAGCAACTTTGCGTTCCAACTCGTTTACCATAAAAGCCTAAGTCGCGAAACTGTAACAAGGTTGCTCATTGATAACACCATCCTTCCCACACAATCTTTCACACTTTCGTAGCCCAATGCGGACCGTTCCTCTGAAAACACATTCGTGGCTGTTCGTAAGGCAAAGTTAGGCTTACTTTTGAACCTTACACTAGGACGTTCTCCTCGTTACCGTCTTGGGAAACAGACACACATACACCAGTGAGGGGCGCAGAATGTATGTCTGATTCCGCTCATACGAGTAGCGGTGGAATGTCACGTTTTTATCCCGTGTTAGGCATAGTGTCCATAACAGCTCTTGCTCCAGTCAGCTCCCTCATCGGGCACAGGGTTTTCCATATACTAGAACTGCATGCAAACAGTGTTTACCTGCCCCGACTGCTCTAGAAGAACTGCTGGATTTTGGCTTGCCAGTCCGCGATTTGGTACTGACCCTGCTTTTGGCGCATTTTACTCCCATTCATGAGGAATAGGCCAGAAAAAGTTGAACTGGTCTCAGTTTTGATGAATGTGCACTAACACTGATCTTGGCGTGTGAAGTGGAAAGTTGAATCGGAGTACCGAGGCAGCCAGCGTCAAAAATGGTCTGCTGTGTGGCGGGTAAATCGCTAATGAAAAGATGGATAGCAGGAAAAAAGAAAAAACAGACAAATCAGCGCTAAATGCTTCATGCCTCATATGTACCATGCCGAACCGCGTTCGCACTTGCATAAGGCGGCGAAAGGTTGCGGTCGGACGAAGTCTCACTCGTTGAGATGAGCTCCTTCTCCTTATCTCCTCACTATTATAATCCGAAATGCAGATGCCTAGTAGCGGAAAAACCTAGGAGGGTACTGTACCTTTAGAAGTGAAAGTTAAGCGTTGCCTTGGCCAGTGGGCGGTACCGTGGCCTGCCGCGAGCGGGTCGCTTTTTCCTCACGTGTTTTCGAGCTGCGTTGTATGCTTGCGGGCAGAACTATCACACGTCCGAACATCAAATGAACGCGAAGAGTGCCTTTATTGAACATTTAATATAATTTTCAGCTTGCAAGGCAGGTGATGTGGTATATCTTAATCCAAACAGCCAGACGCCGATCTCCTGCAACGATGAGATTCAGAACAACTGCCCAAAGAATTTCCAAGTAAGCTCGATAATTTCAGTTACGAGCCAAATCTCTATAACCGGTGGGAGATGATTCTGTTAATCCTGGAACTTGAGGGTTGAATCCACCATTCTGAAGATATAACTCCAAATAGTGGTGTTCCTTGTCATCCATTTTAGCAGAGTGACAGTACTGTTGCAGTGTACCTTCGACAGCCTCACTGACAGCAATGTGTGTTGTGGAGCTACCGACATGGGAGTGTGTCCAGATGGCGAGAAGGCAAGTTTGATTCGATTTCCGTTGACCACAATACACATTTTTTTTCTGAAAGCCACTACCCTTCAGGCTTTTTTGAATGCGGTTGACATGACCGTCCGGGAGTGTTTGATCAACGAGCCGAACTCCTGTCCCACGAATTATCTCTGCCGTTTCAATCCGACAAAGAATCGCTACTTTTGTTGCGGATCCACCAAGCGCAGTAGGTGCTTCAGCCTATTATTAAGGTTACATCCCAGAAATGCCCATTCAGATCACTGCCCTCCTGGTCGAGCTCCTTATAAGGATCAGATGAGTCTACAGGCGATGCGGTGCACGATGAATGCCCATGTCTCCACTTGCCCGGACGGTTTTGAATGCCAAAGTGATGTTCGCGATGCCCTCCAAGGGTACTGCTGTTCCGTCTCAGGTAAGCACCAGGTGTTATCCGCGCTCAAAACCCACCTTGAACCCTTCCAGATATTTGTCCCAACAAGGAGGAATATTTTCTGGATGAGGCGTCGGCCATGCCGCGATCTTGCTCAGTTGGCCATTTCGTCACTTGCCCCTCAGGATTCACCTGTATGACGCAGGTCGAAGGTGCCAATGGTTACTGCTGCCGGTTAGCTTTCTCTTGAACCCTCTTTATTTCTTTTTCCAAAACCGCTTTTGCAGAGGTCAAACCCATCTGGGTGTCTCCGATGGATGTCCTCCAGGCGAAATTGTTTACATGGACAAAAATGAGGTAAGGGCCATATGAAGAGTGCGAATTTTGGCAAAACTGAAACTGTGCTCGCCACTGCTTGCATCGAATAGGAACCTATGCAGTGTACACCACTCCCGTGCTGCTTTTTGAAATCATCATACTCTATATATAAAGCAGATCATACTCTATATATAAAGCAGAAGTTGTCTGTCCGTCTTGTCGGACCAATAGGAGAATAGGCTCCGCCCACAATGGGCGGGGCCTATATTTAGCTGAGCGGTGTCACGGACGTAATCTCTTGAAAACGTTGTCAACAAACTCTTAAACGCCGTCAACTTTGGGATGGGGGCTGAGGGCATGTTGAAAATATACCGAATACACACAAACTAAGTTAAGCCTCGCACACAATGGACGGGGCGTGCACCGAAGTGCCAACGACAAAAATTCGTAAAATTCCTCCGGAAGATCACAGGGACCGGGGACAAAATCATTCTCTATGCACCACGTTAGACTACACCCACAATGGGCGGCCCCGCCCGTCCAAACTAAACGCCCCGCTCACTGACATACCTG